ACTTGTAAAATTTTCACTTTGCGACGCGTATATAATAGAACGATATCGCTTCCCGGCTACGCGGCACTCACACTCGGACTTACGAACTAACCCTGAGCTTTACGAACGCACCGATACAATCCCCGCGACGGGGCGCGCGCGCCACCCGTCGCGCCGCGTGGGTTGGCCTTACTGTCGCCTGCCACTTCCGCGCGTTGGCAGGTTATGTTCCGCGTGTTGCATCTATACGAGCCCGGGCTCGTTTTACAGCGGAGACTCTAATCTTTAAAACGGTCTTTGATTCAGCAAGAACAACCCACGGGAACTTATAAAATTTCGCGATCGCGCACTCGGGGACCCAGAATAACGGCCGGTGTCTATTGCAACCGGCCGGGAACTTACGATTTCAAGGGTACTTGTTTGATTTCTGAGGCCGGGACTTGCCAGCGGTTTTACCAGTGAGTTAATTATGTTTTAATTTCACTCACTGGGCCGAGCCCGACGGCAATGCAATGCCGGGCCGACCCGCGGCAGGGTCGGAGCAAGCTCCGGTCACCCGCCCGGTCTCAAAAATCAGTTTAATATTCTGAGTCCCCTATGGGGACTGTATCAGATATTAAGCTGATAAGAACAGATTAACTACCTTTATTTTCAATTAATTCTACCCCAGGGGACAAGCCCCCTGGGGTGTGTACAAAAAGGCGGCTAGGCCGCGCGCCATTCTTAGATATCACATGGCGGGGGGACAACAGGCCCCCCCCCGCTGTGGGCACTTAATACTAAGTAAGGCTGAGGGACGCGTCCCCCAGCCTGCGCAGTCTTTATTTTGTAGCGGGGGACATTAGTCCCCCCCGCAGTGGGCACTAGTACTATAGTGTTTGGCTGGGGGACGCTACCCCCAGCCTGCGCAGTCTTACAAGTTTTTTCATCCCCCCAGCTCGCGCGCTGGGGGGATACGTTATCACAGATTCAGCGCCCCCGGGAATATCACAGAGAGTGGTCGTCAAGAATAAAAGTCCCGGGGGCGCGCGCGCGGCAGTATAATATTTAAAATTAACAGTGTAAATCGCGCACACACACACTCGAGTAAAATACAAAGTGTTTCGCGGCATTCGCACTCGAACAGTCAGGGCCTCACAAACAGAAAAGATAAAAAGTAAAATGGTAAAGAAGGGTAAAATACGCAGTCGCAGAGATAAAAGAGACGCAAAGGCGCATATATACAAGTAATAGATAAATAAATAAATACAGAAAAATAGCAAGAAACGCAGTCGCAAGAGTAAGAATAAAACGCAAGGGCGCATAGATAAATAAATAAATAGATAAATAAATAAATACTAAAATAATACGCAACAAAGCAGGTGGCGCACTATAGGTAGAAAATAAAAAAGAAAGAAACAGCGGTAGAATAGAAGAAATAAATAGCATAGCTAAGACAAGTAAAGTTATAAAAATAGAACGAATAAATAAATAAATAGATAAAACCAGCAAGAAGGGGCCCAGTCCACTAGTCATTGCACTAATAATAATAAATAGGTGTATATAAAATAACATGCTGAGAGATGACGAGTACTGCATGGGTATCACAAAAAATAAGAATAAGTGGACCACGGGCCGCTCCCTCCTGCTTGGTTAAAAAGGGGAGGAACAGACAAATACATAATAAATTACGCGACATTCGCATCCACAGAGCCGCGACGCGCCGCATCCTGTAGTTCCCGTTCCTCGGCGAGCCAGTGTCGGCGAACGGCTCGGGGCGGCGTTGCGAGCCCATCCCCAGAGGGACGGGAAGGAGCCTGGTACTGGCGGATGCCGGACACATGCTCCACGTAGATGTCACGAGACCAGCGAATGGCATCCGAAACAACTAGGCGGCGCATCATTGACGCATATTGGTTGCCAACCCTCAGCAGCCTCAACCTGAGTCGACAAGGCACACAGGGGATA